GTAAATCTATTTATTGCATCATTTTATTTTTATTGTTTTTTTTTTCAAATGGATTTATTCTAAAAAGACTTTACTGCAGTAAATATTATGTCAAATAAATCTACATTTATGAAACTGTGCATGTGCTATTAACTACCTTTTTAATTTAATAGTGTGATATCATATAATCCATCTCGAAGACATAAGCAAAAATCAATATCAATCAACCACTAATTAAAAAAGGCATATTTCTGACTCTAACAAAAGTTGCTGTCCTGTGTAGGCTAGGAATATTTGTAAAAACGTCCTACGGTGTCTGTTGACATGCCGAGCTGCAATAGTTTGAGACTGTCAAAGCTTAGTCATGTTGTTTTCTTAATTAAATATAAATTGCTAACATTAAATGATTTAATACTGACATAAATGCACTGGGTATGCAATGACAAAGTCTTGTGTTTTTGTGTATGAATGGAGAAATGTCCCAAATTACACCGAAACCCATCAAAAATGACACAAGGGAATAAAGTACGCAATCTTAAGTAGACTAGTATTAATAGATCAGCTTTTTGTGTGCTGTCAAGTGTGCATGTTTTTGTACACGCAAACCTTTTGTAAACAGTGCTTTTGTAACCCAATCCGGGTCTGCAGGTCTTTGTAATAATGAGTGCGTTGGTTCGAAGTGTTTGCAAGGTTCATTGCCTCAAATACACTCACAGCCATCCTGAAATTGTGCTTCCCAGAAAAGCAGCAGTTGCATGAACATTATATGGTGTGGCCAAAGCCACTAAATGTTAAAGTAAATATTGGCTCACTCCAGCATCGCAGACATGAGATGGTTATTTTATGCTGTGTGTGTCTGTTTGTTTGCCTGGATACATTTCATCCTTCACTGCCCAAGTGTACAGCTTAACAACACTGCTATCTGAGCTCTTGCTCACTCTGCTTCCCTCTTAGATCCACTGGAATGAGTAACATTACAATTAGCAGTAGAAACGATAAGAAAACAGTCATTTTAGCAGATGCATTTATCCAAAGTAGCTTGCAGTACTTTTTACAGGGACAATCTCCCTGGAGCACCAAGGTCACAATGTCCTCTGCAGTGTTCAGACCTACAACCTTGCCAAAGTGAGCATCAAAGCTGCTTATACTTACAATAACCCACTGTATTAACTAACCACCTATGGCAGACAGGCAGCAAAATGCTGATTTTTTTTCACATGTGACTCAAATGAGTTCAGTGGTTGCTAGTCTGAAAAGCAAATATGTGACCCTGGACCACAAAACTAGTCATAAGGGCCTTTTTTTATTGAGATTTATACATGTACGCTGAATAAATAATCTTTCCATTGATGTATGGTTTGTTAGGATCGGACAATATTTGGCTGAGATACAACTATTTGAAAATCTGGAATCTGAGGGTGCAAAAAAATCTAAATATTGAGAACATATTAAAGGGACTCGGGTACGGTTCACGGGTTCGCACCTGAGCTGAACTGATGTCAAGTCTACTTCTCATGTGTTTCTTGTCGTTGCTCTGACGCTTAAGTCATAACTTTAACAACCAATGTAGGTTGGATACCAACTACAATGTCCAAACAAAAGGATCTGATTTCATTCTTTGCAAAATTACAGTGTGGAAAGTCAGTGCTAAAGACCACATCTGAAAAAACTCATTAGAACTGGATGCAAAACCTAAGTTTCTTAATCAGCCATTGTTACCTTCTCTGTTTTCTCCTCTGGTTCGTCCTCACTTAGAAACTCTCGTTTGGGGTATGGAATCTGACAACCTGCAAATACACTAAAAGCACACAAAGAAAACATTCAAGCAGTTTTTATAGGAACTACAACTGTTTCACATACAAATAACAGGTGAACGACTACGGTTCATGTTTTAGCTGCTATAAAAGCCGTCCGAAAGAGGAAAAACAGGACATATTTGTGGTATGCACAGAGTGAAAAGCAAGCAGAGACCCTCTTCTAATTAAAGGGTTTGGCTAAGTTCCAGTGAAGGCAAATCTAATTGCAATGGCACAGAATGACACTGTAGAGAATTAGGTACTTTTTCTCTAACAGCATGAAAGTGCACAAAGTGAGAGCCATAAAAATGATCCATTGAGTCTGGTGTAGAACACTAAACCGAAGCTCAGACCTGAACCCTACTGAATATGAATTAGATGAACACCGAATGAAAGCCGGACCCCATCACTCAGTGCCTGAGCTCACTGATGGTCTTGAATTGGAGCGACTTCCCAAAGCCTTGTCTCTACAGTGAGAAGATACTAGAGAGGATCAACTATTTACTAATGCTAATTGTTTTGAAATTACATGTTGAACAAGCACATATGGGTCTGGTGTTTGGGTCTCCACATACTTTTGATCGTTGAGATTTCTCCTCTGAGATTACTCAGCATGAATCGAAATGTGTGTGTGTGTGTGTGTGTGTGTGTTTTTGTGACATATGAGGACACAAACTTGTATAATGACAAAGGTATGACGTAGGTATTACAAGGAGATTACATTTTTCAAAATGCTTATAAATCACACAGAGTGAGTTTTTTTGAGAAAGTGAAAATGCTGAAAGTTTCCTGTAAGGGGTAGGGTTAGGTGTAGGGCAATAGCACATACAGTTTGTCCAGTATAAAAACCATTACGCCTATGGAATGTCCCCACAATTTACAAAAACAAACGTGTGTGTGTGTGTGTGGTGTATGGGTGTACAGTATGTGTGTGTGGTTGGTGTGTGTGCGTGTGTGTGTGTGTGTGTATATATGTGTGGTGTGTGTGTGTATGTGGTGTGTGGTGTATGTGTGTGTGTGTATATGTGTGTGTGTGTGTGTGTGTGTGTGAGTGAGTGAGTGAGTATTCTTTTGGTGGGGTCCATAGTCAGCAATTTCTGGAGCTAGATTAGATTACATTAATTACTGTGGGAAAGATGTGCAAATTCACATAATAGAGTTGGTGGGTTTTACTTAGTGATTAGTTGACTAGTTTAGTGATTAGTTGACTAGTTTAATGATTAGTTGACTAGTTTAGTGATTAGTTGACTAGTTTAGTTTAGTGATTAGTTGACTAGTTGGATGTACGGACACTAAATGCAGACGTTCAATAGTGTAACTAACAGATATTAAACAAATAGATCAATGACATAACTATTTATTTCACAAAACTTTAAATGTTTGTTTTTTAATGCAAAATGACTCTTCTTGGATTTTTGCAATATTTGCAAGAGGAATGTCTAAAATTTAAACTTCATACTGCACCACCGAAGCAAATGATTTAAATAAGTAGCCATCTTAAAACTAATGTTTTTGTGAAGCATATAATGTGTCTAAGATGTCTGCACAGTACTGTATCCCTTTTATATAAGTCAAAGTTGATTCCATATACAATATGAAACAAGTGTACAATAGTCTCACCAGTAGAAACACTTTGCTGTCTGGCTTGACTTTATGTTTCTCCATGTATTTGATAAGACTGCTGTTGGCATATCTGTAAAACACATCAAAAGAATCACTATATATGCACATAAAATATAATACAGTCAGCTGTGTTCAAACAGTACAGAACTGTCTTGCTGTTCTTCTGTATACAGAGCTAGAAAACACTCACACGAAAAAATATAAACCATGACATAAAATCAACACTCATTTAGTTTTTGCTGTTGAGAATACATTTGGTGTTACTCTGGAACAGAGCCCCGCACTCACGTGGTTCTTCTGAAATCTTTCTGTAGAGTCGGATATTCTGGCATCTTCCGGATATCTTCCCAGTCTTTATCTAGGAATTACACATAAACATAATATAATAGTGCACAGTGACATTTAACAAGGCTACGAGTCCAAATAAGGACTAATAATAGCACATGGACTCACTTGTCAGGTGCAAGAATTGTATCAAATTATGCATTGTGCATTTGTTACATTGTACTTACAATTAAAGCACCTGCATTTACATTGTTTATGGTGAAACTGCTAGCTCTTTATTATACAGTCTTGCATGTACATGTTCTTATTATAGTAATTACAATAATGGGTTAATAATTCGGTACTACCCCTCAACCGACCCCTAAACCTAACCTTAACTCATGTAGATACCTCATATTACCCAGAACCTTCTAAGGTAAGTATACTGTAAGTACACCTGAGAGCATGCACTGTAAAATAAATACTGCCTATAAGGCATGTATCATTCAGAACAAATCAACAGAGAGACACACACATGCTTATGTTGTGTGGATAACTCAGGGTTCCTACACAGAGGCATATTTACATATTTAAGATTTCAGACTGACTTGGTACCAACATACTGGTACTTTTGACAACACTACTACAAACAAGCCTGAACGAAGAAAAGTTCAATTTTAATGTTAGTTTTAATTACACAAGACGTACAACTGTGTTTCTTTAATTCTAAAAAAGTACTTTTCAGTGCAAAATGATCCATCAGGAATGGAATGAGGCTAAAAATACACCAAGCACAGGGCAATGGCCACACCTGATTATAAATATTCATAATTCTGCTCAGCTGAAAATGTAGGATTTTGTTTGATATGCTTCCACACTTTTTCACGCAAACCAGACATGAAAAGGTATGGATAGTTAATTTCGTGGCTGACTTTACTGCATTTGTAGGAGTTCCCTTTCAGACACAAAATTCATGGGAGGAGAGTACTTAAATAAATCATGCAATGTGATTTAAGGTTTGCGCTAGTCAGTTGACTGGTATATGAGCCATTATTTACCGCCCCCCCAAAAAGCAGGTCTTTCATTCTGCACCTGTTTCTAGTAGATTACACACACCTGTTTATCATCGGCTCTGCTTGTTTAAGAGCTTACGCTCATTTGCGCAGCTCTTGGTAGATCGTGTTGGTCATTGTTGAAATGATCTGTGTCTGTATTCTTTCATTTGCTCAGCCGCAGATCTTTACTCTCCCATCGGCGCATTTATGGGATTGCACTTTCCCAGCACTTTTGGATGGGCAGAAATCACAGAGTCTATATACACTGTCTGCTACGTTTCCTGCTGTGTGTTCTGTGTGTTCAACTGCTGCACCATTATTGTGGTATAATCATACCACATTCAGATAAACCCACAATATCATGCATTCAACAAATCAATGACCATTTTTAACAGCTTCACATTATGTAACACTTAAGTTAAAACAAACAACTCAAAACAGTAACACTAATATATACAGTGGGTACGGAAAGTATTCAGACCCCCTTAAATGTTTCACTCTTTGTTATATTGCAGCCATTTGCTAAAATCATTTAAGTTAATTTTTTTCCTCATTAATGTACACACAGCACCCCATATTGACAGAAAAACACAGAATTGTTGACATTTTTGCAGATTTATTAAAAAAGAAAAACTGAAATATCACATGGTCCTAAGTATTCAGACCCGTTGCTGTGACACTCATATATTTAACTCAGGTCCTGTCCATTTCTTCTGATCATCCTTGAGAGGGTTCTACGAAAAACTTGTTGCATCTTTTCCAAAAAGATCAAAAGGGTGCTTCTACTAAATACTGAGCAAAGGGTCTGAATACTTAGGACCATGTGATATTTCAGTTTTTCTTTTTTAATAAATCTGCAAAAATTTCAACAATTCTGTGTTTTTCTGTCAATATGGGGTGCTGTGTGTACATTAATGAGGAAAAAAATTAACTTAAATGATTTTAGCAAATGGCTGCAATATAACAAAGAGTGAACAATTTAAGGGGGTCTGAATACTTTCCGTACCCACCGTATATATATGCAAGTAATATATCAAACTTGCAACTCAAATACATGTGGGAAGTGGACCCACACAAGGACAAAAGAATTCAGGCTTTAAAGAAAGTGAAAAAGCTGGTAGAATATTTAAACTTAAAGGGTTAGTTCACCCAAAAATGAAAATTCTGTCATTAATTACTCACCCTCGTTTCGTTCCAAACCCGTAAGACCTTCGTTCATCTTCGAAACACAATTGAAGATATTTCTGATGAAATATGAGGGCTCTCTGACCCTCCCACAGACAGGAAGGTAACTACCATGTTCAAGGTCCAGAAAAGTACCAAGATGATCGACAAAGTAGTTTGTGTGACATCAGCGGTTCAACTGTAAAGTTACGAAGCTACGAGAATACTTTTTTGTGCAAAGAAAACCAAAATAATGACTTTATTATGCATTTTATGTCTCTACTGCATCCCTTTGGACGCGCGTTCACGACAGTACCATGATGCGAGCATGTGGCGGCAGTACAAGTGACGCAGTAGAGACGAAAATGTGAAATAAAGTCGTTAAAAAGTATTCTCGTAGCTTCGTAACGTTACAGTTACGACTACTTTGTCGATCATCTTGGTACTTTTCTGGACCTTGAACGTGGTAGTTACTTTGCTGTCTATGGGAGGGTCAGAGAGCCCTCATATTTCATCAAAAATATCTTCAATTGTGTTCCCGAAGATGAACGAAGGTCTTACGGGGTTTGGAATAACACGAGCGTGAGTAATTAATGACAGAATTTTCATTTTAGGGTGAACTACCCCTTTAAGGGAAATGCAAGAGGCAACTCAAGTACATTACTAACAGAAAAATAAATGTAGAACTTTTTTAGGAATTGTTTGTTCCTAATCTACAGAAACATAAATCTCAGGTCTTCCAGTGATGTAAAAATGTTTCTATTTAGTTACAATAGAAGTCAAATGAATTCATGAGAGTAGAATACTGTACCGAGTACAGAGTACAGGTGGCCATACGATAAGTTAAGGTCAGTCACCTGCTGGGAAGCCCATGACGCTGAATATGCGATCTAACTGGTCGTGATGGAAAGGATTGCTGGTCTTTATGTCCTCTTGTCGACAATGAAAGATTGGTTCTGACGTCAACAGCTCTGCAAAGATACAGCCTATTGCCCAAATATCTAAAAAGTCAAAGAATATTTAGTACAGATAACAAAGAATACAGCCTGAAATGCACACAACACATAACGTACCGATTGCTTTGGTGTAGTGTCTCGCCCCGAGCAGTAGTTCGGGTGCTCGGTACCAGAATGTGACGACCACTGGGTCCAGATCAGCCAAAGGCTTCAGTGGAGAGTTAAATAGTCGAGCAAAACCCATATCAGCTGAGACACACAAACATAGAAACCCATAAATACTCCACTCTGATCACAGGGACAGGGATCATTTCAGCTTTAGGTGAGCTATGCATTTTGTTTTTAACGATCATAGGAAGAGAAGACTTTCTACTAGTAACAAACAGTCGTTGGTATGCATTTTAATCAATACGAAGAACTGGTGGGTTTTAGGGGTCATAAGGTGACAATGTGGCATCATAATTGTAATAATACATGTATTATTGAAATAGTATTTTAATTTAAAAAAACATTCTACAGAACATTCTAGAGACCATTTGATCAGTGTTGCCAAGTCTGTGGTTTTACTGCTCATGTGTGACCCTGGAGCACAAAAGCAGTGTTAAGTCACTGGGGGATATTTGTAGCAATAGCCAAAAATACATTGCATGGGTCAAAATTATTGACTTTTCTTTTATGCCAAAAATCATTAGGATATTAAGTAAAGATCCATGTTCCATGAAGATATTTTGTAAATGTCCTACCGTAAATATATCAAAACTTAATTTTTTATTAGTAATATGCATTGCTAAGAACTTAATTTGAACAACTTTAAAGATGCTTTTCTCAATATTTAGATTTTTTTGCACTCTCAGATTCCAGATTTTCAAATAGTTGTATCTCGTAATAGGTATACCCAGAACGCGATTTTTGATGCGATTTCATAGATATTTTTCCCATGAATGCAGTTGAGCTAGTTTTGATGACCAGTTGTGCTGGTTCTGCCGTGCAGACCTGGCAACCCTGCATTTGATCTATATAAAAGTGGAAATTTTGCTATTTTCAAAACTTAATGGAAATTGTTGGCCATGTTTTGTCCCATGTGTCATATAACCCATGAGAGATTAAATAATTAGTTGTGCTGCTTACGTGAAGTGGCTCCAATGCTCAAGTGAGTCAAGGTAACACTGAAAGCCACAGTGTAACCAAACACAATAACAAGTTCCACAGGCTGGTAAAAATAGTGCCCACAGCCCTGAACAGTCCTCACCCAGAATAGTATCTTATGTAAGACAATGGCTTCACATTAGCTCAGACTGACCCTACAGCCACATAAGCTCTCTAAAGCTTGGCATTATCACCTAAAACGAAAATGAGTCGACCAAAAAAAACGTTCAGCAGCATTACACAAAATCTAATTTTCTTCTCTGATAATTTCAATAAAAGACATTTTCCACTGAGGAAATTTTGATAATTATATATTGCATTGTATATATTGCAATTATACATTGTAGTCAGTATGGCATTTTACCAATTTTGACTCTTCCTCGTTCTGGGCCTTCCCCCATGACCAGGATATTGGCAGGTTTCTGAAAGACAAGAGAGACCACAAAGTATATGTTTATCTCAGAAATGTGCGCGCGTTGCGCATGTTTTTGCATTATATGAGTCGCTTTGGAATATAAGTCGCAGCACGTTTCAGATGATAAAAAACGTGATTTATTTTTCAGAAAATATGTTCATCACTGTTACAAGATTTATGTATCAAAAGCTTGTAGAATAAACTAACATTATACATATTCTTTTGGTTTCTGTACCCAGTATTTAAAAAAATTACAAATGCAATGAAAATACAGGTATCATTACTTGGTATCGGCAAAGTACCAAAAATAAAAGTATCCATATTGGCCTTGTTCTGGAAAACATGGTATCCATAAATGTAATGCATATTTGCTGAATAAAAGCATTAATTTCTATTAAAACACACACACAAAAACATTTGAATGGTAGTATAAGATGGTGTCTACATAAATATGAAGCAACGCAACTGTTTTCAACATTGATAATAATCAGAAATGTTTCTTGAGCAGCAGATCATACTTGTATACTGATTTCTGAAGATCATGTGACACTGAAGACTGGAGTAATGATGCTGAAAATTCAGCTTTGATCACAGCGATAATTTACATTTACAACATATTCACATAAAACATATTGTAATCAGTGTTGGGGAAAGTTACTTTTAAAAGTAATGCATTACAATATTGCGTTACTCCATAAAAAAGTAACTAATTACGTTACTTAGTTACTTTTTATGGAAAGTAATGTTGCGCATTACTTTTTAAATCCGGACAGGGCTTGCTTGTTTGTTTTTAAAATAAAAAAGTTCTATTTTTGGCAAATATAAAAGCCTTTTCACACCAAAAGTGAAATGAATAAGCCTCAGGCTGAAGGGAAAGTACAGTAGAATGCAGAAGAAGACATTTCAACACACTTCAGCAATAAACAAAGACACGCAGATGTTTGTCTGGAGTAATTTGTGCTTATTAGTACGCTTGAACTGGATCATCGAAGACATTGGTTAATAGAATGGGATTAAATACATAAAGGATATTTGTGTTGTTTAACATTTAATTATTGCAGGTTTGCGTCATATTCTGAGTTGCATTATTTTTATTCATTTTGAGGAATACTGAATCTGTGTTTTTTCTTTTTTGTGAGTGAGATGAATGAATGCATATTCATATTTATTTTAGAACTACAGTAACATCTTCTGATTTCTCTCAGCATGAGGACCGGAGAGCCGTCAGTCAATAAATTGGAGGAAAAAAAGTAACTTGCTTTACTTATTTGAAAAATTAACTCAGATATTCTCTTGTAAAGTAAGAAGTAATGCGTTACTTGAAAAAAGTAATCTGATTATGTAACTCGCGTTACTTGTAATGTGTTACCCCCAACACTGGATATTCTCTTGTAAAGTAAGAAGTAATGCGTTACTTGAAAAAAGTAATCTGATTAGAAGTAATGCGTTACTTGTAATGCGTTACCCCAACACCGCTTGTAATACTGCATCACAATACTAGTGTTTTTACTATATTCTTGAGCACATAAATGCAGCCTTGGTGAGAAGATGAGCCTTAATTTAAAAAAATCATAATGTTTCCAATCTTTTGACAAGTACTGTATATCTGTTCACACCTGCATGAACCATAAAGCCATGACACCCATTTTGTTTATGGAAATATTCTGTCTCACAGGGAAGCTGTGGCAGGTGCTGAGCTATCGCTCTTCTAAATGCAACAGACGACATCTTCATGATAATATTTATGCATATCATAATATTCATTTCACTGCGGTTACTGGGTGTTAATATTTCAGCAGACCACGCTGAAGTGAACGTACTTTACGCCATTGAAAACTAGTCATTTTAATTGCAGGAAACCTAAAAAATTCATTTATAATTCTAATAAAGCATACTATATTTCATAGATACTCATAACAACAAATGCTTTTTATTTGAACTTTTATTTAGTTTTAGCGGTAGCAGACATTATTACAAAAATAATTAGTAGTCCAAACGGCACAGACTAATTTTTCTAATCTTGCTTTCTCAGGATTAGAAATACTTTATGTGTTCTGGATTCTGTATGTTTGAAAACTATTTTATTCACAATTTAATTTGGTGCCACTAATACAGACATTACAATACGATGGAACGAACAGACAGAGAAACACAGAGACGTCACGAGTCTGTGTGCGGTCGTGGGTGACTGGCTGCTGCATCAAGTAATGATGTCTTCTAATTATTCCGAGACGCTTGAGTTTCTATGAGCCTTAATGAGGGTGTGTTGCTATGGGAACAGCGACCATAAGACTTCTGTAATCCACTCAACACAACACTGACGTCTCAAAATTGCTGTTATCGTTCACTGAAATCCACTTTAAGGAATGTAACGTATTTTTATGGTAAATAAAATAAATACTTGAGTAATTACCATTTGTATTAACATTAAAGGGATAATTCACCCAAAAATGAAAATTCTGTCATTAATTACTCACCCTCGTGTCTGTCACGATCACCAGCTGGAGTGCCTATCCCATACCTTTGCCACTCTATCCTGGACTGCATTTCCCATAACCCACTGGCCGGACTCATCATGCCTGATTGTTTTCACCTGTTGCTCATTACATCTGCCTATATAAGCCTTGATTTCAGTCACTCTTTGCAAAGTCTTGCATGTGTCACAGTTGCCATTCTAAGCCTTTTATCCTCGTTCTCTCGTGTCTTGTTTTCCTGGTTCTTGATATTCTGCCTGTTTATCTGGATTACTCCGTTTGCCTCAGCCCTGTCATTTTTTGGACTGCTTACTGTGTTTGACCTCATGCCTGCTTTGACTATGACTATCAGAACGCATGCATCGTGGTATCCTCGTGAATGGCGGCAGAGACTGACATGAATAAAGTCATTATTATTGTTTTCTTTGTGCACAAAAAGTATTCTCGTAGCTCGTACCACAGATGTCACATGGACTATTTTAAGGATGGCCTTACTACGTTTCTGGGCCTTCAATGTGGTTAATTGCTGTCTACGCAGGGTCGGAAAGCTCTTGGATTTCATCAAAAATATTTGAATGTGTTCCGAAGATGAACGAAGGTCTTCCGGGTTTGGAACGACACTAGGGGGAGTAATTAATGACAGTATTTTCATTTTTGGGCGAACTATCATTAAGTTGAACCGCGGTTCTAGTGTATGCCGAACCGTGTGTGGAGAACGGTACGGTTCGATTTTTTACCGAGAACCGTTGCACCCCTAATATAAACATGAAAAATGTTCATTGTTAGGAAGGCACAGGTGTCCTAAATATTTTGAAGATAATTATGGGAATTAAACTTCATTTTGCAGCCAAAATCTATTGTACTGGCCACTACTGTACTTGTTATATTCTGGTATGAAGATCATAACTTGAAGCATCTCTGGCTGCATTAACACGGTCAACCAATTCCATTCAGCTACTGTTGTATACTGTACATTTGGTAAAACTACACAAGTTTTGTCTGAGGACAGTGGAAATGTGCTTCCAAAATACAAAAGCATTGAATAACCTGCTGTTCCTGTTACATAACATTTATAATTCATGTTGCCAAGGCTTAAGCGAATGTAAACAAGCGGAACAAAAAATAAAACACTGACTAACAAATGGCTTCATATCAGGCTTGTGTCTGTACTCACCAGATCTCTGTGCAGGACCCAGTTGGCATGCAGGTAATGGATGCCGTCTAAGATTTGGTAAAGCAGAGACTTCACCATCCCCCTCGGTAGCTGCATGGGTTTCTTGTTGGCCTTTGATGCTCGATGAAATTTTATGATGTGCTACAACATATGAAAGTTGCATGAGAGTTGTGTACGCATTAGCGGTTATATGATCACAAGAAATCTTTTTCCTCTAGCTGTTTTGCTGCTAAGGTCACGCACTTCCAAATTAAGATCAGTAACACTCCATCTCTGCTGATCACTCTGCACATTTTTTCACTGATGAGACGGCAACAATCAGTTTTCAGAAATTAAGCGTTAGCGTTAGTTCTGGCAGGTCACGTGAGTCAAGCTTGCATCAGCTGATTCTCAGCTGATCACATCTACCTATAGGAATACGACACCTATCGCGGCATTCCTATATAAGCTCTATTCAGTATTATTCAGCAGCTTTTTAGCTTGCTCAGGAGCAAATGACCCTCCTCCATCCCCAGCTCCTCCTTTCACCACAGTCAGGACTTAGCTTTCTGATATTCCTTGCTAATCAGACTCCTTTATCTTGAATAAAGTGTTACACTTAAATATCATTAAGTACATTAATGATATCTGCCTTGTTCTGTTCTGTTAACCCTGGGGGGTTATTATTGCTGCTCTCCCTGCTCAGTCATGACAGGCTGCATGGATGGGCAGGGAGGTTTTTGCCCAGAACAGAACCATACCGCCAAACCAAACTTTATGCTAAGTATCTATCATTTTGACGATAGTGGTCCTGACAGAAACAATATTAATTAAACAGAGGACCCCCTGCAGATCCTAAGTGTCAAGGTCAATTGGGGCTAGATTTACTAAACAGGGCAAATTAGTGTGAGAACGCAATCCCATGAAAGCACAGATGGGAGTGGAAAGTTCTGCATTGGTTTACTGACAACGCGTGAAATAAAGCAAACCGTAGTAAATCATGTTGCACCAAAGAGGGTTTGCACTGGTGAAGCGGTGAATAAATCTGGTCTTAAATATTAGATATTAGAAAATATCAGTCTCTTAAAATATTAGATAATTTGACCTTTTTACATGTGCAATGTTTGTTCAGGTTGTGAAATGTGATGCACCTCACCAAAAAAAAAAAAAAAACAGTATTTATGAATGAATAGTGTAAAAAAAAAAAAAAAAGTACTTTCAAAAATACATTTAATTAATTTAACATTTAAAATTGTATTTAAAAGATTAATGATACATAAAAAAACAGCTGGGCCATTCACACTGAACACGTTTTTGCTTTAAGGAAGACCGCATCTCAGACATTCTGCTGTTGCGTTTAGAAGAAGAAAGGTAAGTCGTACAAAACTGAACCTAAAACGAAATGAAAAGGGTTGATTAAATTACAAACTAAAGAGTAACTACTGAAGCATTGCTGACCCAAACAAAAACTAAACTGAAACATGCTAAAAAAAAAAAAAGCACTGCGATACAAAAAGTGTAAAATTATAATAACTTGAGTGCATGTGTACTCACCCACAGGTCATGCTCAGCATAGTCGAAGAGGAGCCAGACTTTGCGGTCACTGTGAGAGAGAAATACTTTCTGCAGGGCGATGACGTTTGGATGCTTTAACTCTCTCAGCAACTGCAGAAAAACAGAGAGACGCATTCTTCTGTTCATTCACCAATTGTCTTTAATACACATACATGTAAAGGCATTTAAACTTTCTATCACAAACACTGACTCCGTTTACAACCTGGTGTTAACATCCATCTCGAGCAATCCCATCACAATTGGAGAGCGCTAATAAATACACGTACAAATGATGTTCAGCATCCTGAAGCCTAACTCACTGAAAGTGGTGAGCACTATATTCTGCCTTCGATGTAGCAATCAGCTGATGATAAACCAAATCTAGCACATATCTGTTGCTTCTCGTGTAGTGAACTCTGCTGAATAATTTGCGTATATCGCACAAACTGAAGAGAGGGTTTATCTCCGTTCTGCGGAGACACATTTATGTGGCCAAGTGTAAATGGAACCCGCACTGATCAATCAAAATGCATGTGGCAACCAAGTGAAGCATTCAATCGAAAAAGCACGTGACCACAACATTTGCTGTGTTAACACTAAGGGCACAAACATGCTAGTATTTAGACTTCTTCAGAAACCCCTCTTCATCAGAATTCCTCCCATTTTAAAATTGCCTAATCGAACAATGGATTCCAAGTTACTTTTTACAGCAGAATGCTAATGGTTATATGTATGGCATAGATCTCCCAAAGGAGGCTGCCATACAGTATGACTGCGGTTCAGTACAAAGCAGTAAATTAACTGACAATTACAGTAGTAATCAACTACTAAAGGTACAGTAATACTGGAAAAAAACGAGTGTTTTTATCCCCAGAAATTTGTAAGAAAAGCAAAATCTCTGACTGAAGCATGTACCTTTGACAGTATTCTGCCTGTCTCTCTAGATCTTGTAAACACAGAAAGAGTTGGCAGTGCTTGACTTGGGGTTGTGCTTAGGACTTGACTAGTTAACCAATTAAAACACGTCGTAAGAAAATGTTTTGTCTAAGGATCTTCTCGCTGCTAGTGCAGGTCTGATCACAGAAAGCGTTTGGATGAGATTATAGAAAATAAAGGAGGTTTCACTTGTTACTACTGTATATACAAGTGTTCACACACACACACACAACATTGCACAGTTTGCATGTCTCCTTAATCAAACACACCTGATTCAGGTCATCAGCTCATGCTTAATGTGCAGTGTTGGGGTGCCTCCAGGACCAGGGTTGGGAACCACTGGCCTAGATAACATCTCTGAGTTTTCTCCTATAATGCCTGATGAGTTTGGAGAACACCTGACAAGAGAACAGAGAGCATTCCTTCACACAGGATCACTCCAGATCCTTCAGATTCACAGCCCCATGTTGGTGCTGCTCCTCTTCAGTTCACCACACTCATTTTCTAGTGTTCAGATCAGAGGACTGGGATGGCCATGGCAGATGTTTTATTTTGTGCTCAGTGACCCATTTTTGCATTGATTTTGATGTTTGTTTTGTCCTGATGGAAGATCCAACCATGACCCATTATAAGACTTCTAGCAGGGACATTCAGGTTTAGATTTTTGTTTATCTGTTGGTATTTGATAGAATGATGCCATCTATCTGAACAAGATGTCCAGGACCTCCGGCCCACAACATTAAAGATCCAGTAATTGTACACATGGGGTACTTTTTTTTTTTATCCCTGTGTATCCCTTTAAACCCATATTATGTGTGCCAAAAAGCTCTTTTTTAAGTTTTATCTGAACATAGAACCCAGTCCCATTTCAAGTTCCAGTAGTGTCTAACAAATCAATATCCTGGAGTTTTTTTGGATGAAAGTAGGGATGGGCGATGTGGACTTAAAACTATATCACAATATTTTCTGGTATTTATTGTGATAACGACATCAATGACGATAGTTCATATGCATCTACTGAGAGAAAAAAACTAGGGTGCTGTGTGTTGTGAGCAACCAGAGGGCGCCCTCGTGCATAAACTCCACATATGCATCACAGAAATAATAGAATTGATGACATTCCAGGAAATCCCTAATATGGACAAAGACACACAAAGATGATATGCCTACAGTCGTGGTCAGAATTATTGGCACCCTTAGTAAATATGAACAAAGAAGCCTATGAAAATAAATCTGCAGTGTTAATCATTTTGATCTTTTATTTAAAAAATGTAAATAAATAAATAAAATCACAGAAACTTAGCCTTTCATTGAAGTAAAACAATTGAAAAATCATTATTATTATTAAATTATTATTATTTTTTGCTCTATTACACACTGGCCACAATTAATGGCACCCTTTTATTCAATACTTTTTTGTAAGGGAATTGTCATGTTCGTGTTCACCCTGGTGTGCTAAACATTGTAAATATGAACAGGAATATACTTCAGATATATTTTACTATAATTTCTATGGGTATCAATAATTGTGGCCAATGTGCATTAGACAAAAACATTCATAATGTGATTCCCCCCCACTTTCACTTGTTTTACTTATTGAAAGGTAAGATTTATTTTTTGAATGAAAGATCAAAAGGAAGGATAAACAATACAGATTTATTATCACAGGCTTCTTTGATCATTTTTACCAATGTTCCAAAAACTCTGGCACAAGACTGCATGTGCACTAACTAACCGTTTAAAGGGAAACTAAACTACTATCTGCAAAAGCCAACTTAATTGAACTCTACTTCATCTCTACATTATTTTTCACCACACACACACACTGCAAAAACAGCCAGGGGTCAAATCTGGATTTCTGAAGTGGGGGAGTCAAAAGATCATGAGCTTAATCAAATGCCCTTGACAAAACTAAACACGGTCCTCTGAACCTTAAAGGATGATTCCTGGTTATTCCCGCAAGTGAATGTGAAAGGCTTTACTTGATCTTGGTTACACACAGAGCGACTGGTAAATTATTCTATCATTCTAACGTCACGCTAACACACATACACAGTAGCCTAATATTTAAAAATTATATTTTTGAAAACAGTGTTACAGTTGCATTCATTTATTGCAGTTATAGTTCATAGAGTTGCAAACTTGCTGCATTCCTCTGTTAATAAATTACTGTATGCATATTTTTTTGTTTTTAAAAAATGAAACAAAAAAAAAAAAACTGTATGCAGTAAAAAAGTAGTTAAAAAAAATTGTTGCTTTTAAGTAACTCACAGCAATTTCCCTGCAGGCAGACATGGAAATACCAGTGCCTTCTATCTGTTTCAGCGCATACTCCTTCTCATCCTTCCTGTAAAAACACAAACACAACATCACTAAAGGTGAGGAAACACAGCTACGCACAACACTCACGTCACAATATTAAATCACTCCATTTACATGAAAACTAATAAACAGCTATCTATTGTATTCAGTAAATAATATGCAAGACATGAATAACAATATATTATTCAATTAATTTTCAAATGATAAGGTAATAAAAGTATTAACCATTAACAAGTATTCATTTACACAATAATGTACTTACATTTTTTGCTAATATCAAAAATACATTTTGCTAACCATAATAATAGTTCATTTTAAATAAATAATGGGCATTGATATTACAGAATTAAATAACCAAGCTATGCGAAATTTACAAACAATGCGATGTGAAAAGTTATATACTTACTGCAGTAAAAATATATTTTTAAAAGAAAATCACAATTAATCTCAATACACTGTTCACAGTCGGCAAAAGTCAAAGAAAATGTATTAATTTAGAAAATACATCAAAATATCAAACTAATCAATATCACTTTTTTCCCCCCCAAACAAATTTTTCACAAAAAAGCAGATACACTTTTCAAAACTGTACGGCCACATACAGATCATTAGGCAACTGAAATATTGTGTAGGTATTCTCAGCAGCCTTCGAGCAGTGAAGCAGGCTTCTCTATCAGCGTCTCAACTTAGAGTTCACGATTCTACCAAAAAAAAAGATCTGTGAACCCATTTCTATCTTGTAATACTGAAGCAATATTTGTTACTATTTCTCCTCTAATTTTCATGATTACTCGTGGTTATTTATTTATTGCTAATCAGGCGAATAGAATGAACTAAATATTAAATATCAATTTTCTCCAAACTAACTACTTTGCAATGATTTTAAACCAACCGACCAAAAGATCATTTTTTAGTAGATGTACAAAGCCCGCCTCAAGTTGATATGTCCCATTAACATTTCAGAACATTCGTGCCTTAATTTCCAAAACAATATCTATACTTGAATTATTTTAAAAGTAAACTGAATGAAACATCTAGCATGCAAAGCGTTCTCGAGTTCAAAATAAACAACACTTGTTTGTATGCTTTGTTACCCAATGCAATGAAACACACACGGAGAGAGATAGACACACACACACACACGGAGAGAGAGAGATAGACACACACACACACACACACACACGGAGAGAGATAGACCCACACACACACACGGAGAGAGAGAGATAGACACACACACACACACACACACACACACACGCACGCACACAGACAGATACACACACATATAACCTCCTGCACAAATGAGTATATGAACACACACACACTGCTGAACACATAAGCACAAGTGAGCACGCTGTGTAAACTCCAGCACATAAGAACATCTGCGCAGGTAAACACGCATTCCTCAACATGTGCACCGCTTTTAAAAAACGTGGACTTCTGCACAAATAATCAGGTGAACTCCTGCAGACACTGAACGACACCCAGCACGACACGGACTGCTGGACATGTAAGCATATAAACTCCAGCACACGAGAAAGCACGAACACTTGAGTTAAACACGTGAGCTGCGGCACACAGGAGTGAGACATGCATCACGCTGGTTTGGGGGAGGACCGTTTGAAGTGCGTCCATGAAAACAAAAACAATCACACAGGGTAGCGATAAAGGCATGATTCCCCCGATACACAACACACACACTGTCAGCAGAAGCGCGTAGAGGGAGTGAAACGCGTGCATCTTACCCGTCTTTACGCTTGGCTTTATAAACATGCCCGTACGTGCCGCGACCCACTTTACAACCTTCATATTCAAACAGATCTTCCACTCTCTCCCTCTCGGCGGCGAGCTTCGTTTTGAAGTCGTGGTCCATTTTAACCCATAAACATTTCTTAATTTACAATAAAATAAAATATTAATTATTACATGCATTAATTAAATGATCCGATCGTTTTATTACCCCACCATTTCCTTGTTTGGGATTTCGGTCGGCTCCGCTTAATGGTCACGTGTTCGATGACGCATTTTATTGTGGCGGATTGCCTTCTGGGAAATGTAGTGTGGTTCGATCAACCCACTGGTTCGAGTTAACGACGGGAGGACGTCTGTGAACTACAACGCGCAAATCGCGATGTTGGACGTCGTTCCAGTCCCTTTCAAATTTTTCTGGCCGTTGGAATATTCAAACTTGGCATCAGCTGTAATTGCAACAGAAGTACGATAATAACTCGTGTCCTCGAAACATTAAAAGTACTGTCACAAACGTGTAAAATACACGAGCAAACCATAATTTTTCTTCAACAGACTAGTGAATAAACTGGCACCAATTCCCAATGCACTGGCGCAGCGTTATGGCAAACGCAAATGTTTATTAGTCAAGGGCATAACACAAGCGGCGCTACTGCAGCGTGAACTCGTACCTTTACGCAACCGCCAATTTTGATTGACAACCGCTACAGCCAATCGTTGCTGAGACGAGGGCGGCTTCTTGGCCGTGATTGGCCGCAACGAGGATGACGTCAGCGGGTAGGTAATAAAAGCTCCGCGCAGGCTGCCATTCTGCGCTTACACAGTATGGCCGGAGACATTAGCTAACATTTGCCTACGGTATTCTCTGTAAAAGGGAAGACGGTAAAAGAAAACAAGGCAACTACATCTGGACTGCAACTAAGCTACTAAATTATAACAACCAACAAAGGACTAATTTAACTGGGACTCCATCCGACGGTTTAGTTTCTGCTGTTGGGGTCTGTCTGTGTCACGATGGAAGAGAGCAGCGCACACTTCTTCGAGGGGACCGAGAAGCTCCTGGAGGTGTGGTTCTCCCGAGAAGACGAAAGCAAAGGAACCGGGGATCTGCGCACTATCCCCAGGTGGGTGAGTGGGTTTAACCGAGCCGGAGTTAGTCATTCACGACAATCAGTCGCTTTAATCGTGCTTCAGTCCTGCACGGACCCGGATGTGGCGTTAGCGCCTGTCACACTGATGGCCCCGAGTGAGTGAGAGTGACATGATACAGGTGTTGGTGTTATTCTGGCCCTGTCCGTGTCTCTTAACATCGCTCTGCAGTGAGCACCTGTCACTCGAGCCGTGGCTCGTTGCGCTTTATTTGGGACGAGCCCTGTTTGTGTCGGAATCCGTTATTGGTGAGCTGTGATTGGTTGATTAGCCGCTAGCTAGCTAGCTGCTAGCAAACACGCGTCCTCAAACACAGCTGTCCATCAGTGCTGGAGTGCGTCTGTCCACATCGACGCATTCCGGAGGAAGAGATTTGCAGTTGCGTTGCAAGAGAGCTCTATTTTTGGAAGGTGTCATGGCGGTCGATTCTGCGCCGCAGCCTCCATGTGAAAGTCACGAGGCTGCGTCACACGCCGTAAGCTCCGCCCACGCGCTGTGATTGGTCGGGAGCTCCGGTCGCTCATTGGTGGATAATTAAATGTGCGCACTGCGCGGACAGAGCTAGATGGCACACAGCAGAAACTACTGCGCATGCGCACATCAATATTGCGCAACTTTTCTCACACTGTACAACAATAATGACTATTTTTGCATTATTGTAGGTGTAGACGTTACCACAAGACCGTGAGACAGAAAACTTCATTTTGCAACATGAGTACAACATGCATTAATGGTTGGACATTAGAATGCACTTGTCTTGATGTCTGTGTATAATACAGAGTTATGATGACGACAGAAAACATCTAATAATAATAATGCATCAACACTGCTTATGTAGAAGTGTTGTTGAAATGCATGTTAAAGTCAGGTTTCCAGCTGCTATAGGAAATAAGATGCATCTGCAGGAAGAGCTGAGAGCTGATCTCTGGTTTCTCTGGGTACGGCTGGCAGAATGACTGATGAGGGCTATTAGTTTCCTCCGGGAAAGCTCGAGCACTCAGAGATGCTAGAAGGAGGATGGTATGAGTCGGTTTCCACATACGGGCTACAGCATGAGCAAGCGCTTCACTGTGCTCCAGTCATTCATATGAGCTCTCCCTGATGCACACGATCACACATGTTCACCGTTTGTATCATTTGACCATTACAGTTTGAGTGGAAATCAAAACATTCAAAACCTTTTATCTTTTGTTTTTATATGGCTCATATTTTATCAGCAGCTGCACTCATTTATACTTCTGAATGGTTTAGATTATAATTATAAAAAAAAAAAAATTAGACTTCATTTATAGTTAATAACACGCCACCAATGGGACATTAGTACCTGTAGCTGCTATAGTAGTAATAATAAATGATGTATGGTTATTGAGAGGGAACCTATAGCGGTGTATTACTGGAGACTAGAGTGTATTACTGTATGACGGTCAAGCATGTGACCACTGAATCAGTTTTTTAACGAGACTTTTACATGTCATACAGCTTATCCCAAATGTTTTTGATTAAAGGTAACAAGTAGGCGATATGGCAAAAAAATAAAATCTCTTTTTTTCAGAACGTTTGACCAATTCTCGATTTTTACGAATTTTAACAAGTCTACTTGAAAACGTAAGCGTGTCAAAGACGTTAAGAGGTGTCCGCATCAAAAGAAATGTACTAAAGTGATTTTATGTCCATAGAAAGCACAATAAATGCAAGTAAAGTGTCTACTTTTAAGATTTCAAATAAGTTTTTGGAGAATAAAATGTCAAAATTTGGTTGAAATAATGTTACGTTGTCATTCAGTGTAACACGATATTTATCAAAATTCAAACAACATGCATATTAAAATATATATAAAAAATAAGTGAGCATATTAAATGTTATTGGGTTTTAAATGAGTAAAAAATTCTTACTGACCAATGGGCAAAACCTCGGATAGTGGCACATTTGAAACATTTAAAATAACAACTAATTAATATTTGGGGTGAAAGTAATTAGTTTAATATGTTATAAATTGATTTCTGTTGTAAATATGCCTGATGAGATTATTACACTGAATGATATTTTAGTGGCTCTCTTCTGTAAATCAGGGGAAAATGTATGATATTTATTTTTTGCTCGGAGAAACAAAAATACAATTACATGAAACTGAAAACTCATTTTTATTTTTTTTTGGAAAAGCAATAACAATTTAAAGTAGTATTGTTTTTGTGCTTAAACCCTTTTTCGTCTTTGACCCGTATACGACATGATTCAAGTAACTTTTCCTTTATTTACCCTCTAGTCAAAATAATTATATTCCGAGTGCCGCACACATGACGTTGTCAACATGATGTAAAACAAGTCACTTCTCTTTGCAAAAAAAGATGCATGATCTACAATTACATCTTGTACAAACTTGTCTTATACATATTATACGTTTAGAAATAATAGTAGTTAATAGTACCATAGGCGTATTATCAGTGTCTAATTCTAACGTTTAATTTAAAAATGTATAATAATTTATGCATTTAGCAGATGCTTTTATCCAAAGCGACTTACAGTGCATTCAGGCTATACATTGTTTACCAGTATGTGTGTTCCCCGGGAATCGAACCCACGGCCTTTTACGCTGCTAACGCAATGCTCTACCACTGAGCCACAGGAACACTTCGACCCAACTACAACATGATTCAAGTAACGTTTGGTAATATTTCTATTCAAAATCGGGATTCGTCGATTTATAAAAAATAAAATCGTGGCAAAACATTAAATTCGAATTAATGGGAAAAATCGCCCAGCCCTAGTAACAAGTCTAGTCCATATATATTTGAGCAAATTTGGTTTATCTCTGCAATAATTTGACTTTCTGTGGTCAGATGTTTGTATAATAACACTAAGCTTAGGGCTGAGCGATATGGCCCAAAAAATGATCACAGTAAAATGTTTTCATATCAGTTGATATCAGTAATTATGATACATTTCAAATCTTTTTCTCTCCAGTTTAAAGGCAGATTTCTGCTCCATAAGTGAAAGCTGTAGAAACCAGACCATTAGTTGTGGTTTTAAACCACTCTTTATGGTCAGAACATGACAAACACTGCAGGTTTTTGAATGCTTTACACTTGTCCAGTCACTTTTCCTTAAAATAAACATCTTAATAGAGAAATTAATTTCTTAGTTTCTGCGTGTTCTAATGAGTGATATTGTTTCAGATCGTGTAACAGGTTTGTGTTCCTGACATCGAGTGCAGCCTGTGATGTTTATAATGCATTATTTTGTCTCTCAGAAATGCATGTTTGACAGTAGCTTGAGTTTGGATGCAGATGTAAATTTATGTAAATTTATCTGTAAAAACTGTAACAACCTCATTTTTATATGCTGAAATGTCATTATTCTGACTGTTTGACTTTTATTAAAATCAACCATTGGTCTTCCATAGTAGCATACATTTAGATCACGATAACACTCGATGCCATGCTTAAAATTGGTTTCTAGGTATTTGTATGAAAAACTAGTCTAAATATATTTAGTATAAATGCACAAACGCTTTTGCTTAATCACAAAAAACACTAATTATATTAGGGATGCACCGATATGAAAATTTTGGCCGATACCGATAACCGATTATTCTTTATTTTTGAAAGCCGATAACCGATATGTTGGCCGATAAATCTATATCCAAATTGTTATATACTTTTTGAGAGCCTGATTACAAAAAAGGTCTCATCATTAAAAGCCACATCCCAAACACTTCAACATAAGCAGCCTAGTTTGAACGGTGTATGTTTTAAAAATATTTTTACTCTCCCATTACCAAATTTAGTCATAAAAAAGTCTTACAAATAAATAAAATTATGCATAAATAATGCAAACAAGTCACTGGACATCATTACACGTGTAAAGAATCAAAATGAATGCGCCATAGATCAATAAAACGGAATAGCCTCTGCACGGACAATAATTAAATGATTTTAATTACTAAACCATATTGTTGATGAAAATAATAAGAGAACAATACAAGTGGTTGTTGTTATTAATAATGTATCAATGATTTTGAAAAAGTAACAAATTAATACCACTGTTTTAAATAGCAGCCGTTGAGCTGCGCGTGCTGAAGCTGAAGAGCTGAATGAACATGGTAAACTGAAGCGTTTTGCTGGCAGCTTATTTAACTCAAGGAAATGCATCCTGAGATTAATATTAATACAACATAAACATAATATTACAACTTATATATGAAATGACAAATGACGCAGTTATTGCATGCTATAGTCAGAATGTGTGATCCTGTTGTGGATGCGCTCTTCCCATAACAACGCGCTGAAACACGGCAACTAAACCCAAAGAATTCACAATGTTTTATTATAATAATGTTCTCATTAGAATTTTATATACACGACATTCCCAATCATAGTTATTAATGTTGTGCACTGCTGTTTGAGCTGCGTGTGCTGAGCTAAAGATGATCACCGGTAAACTGAAGCGCTCTTTTAACTTAACCAAACGCATTCTATATGAGATAAATCAGATATACATCAAATAAACACAATATTACAATGTACAATTGCACAAAAGGCTGCAAACGAACAGCGCGCATCTGAAGTGTTTCTGAAGGAAATAATGCATTATTTATCGGCTTTAAGATATCGGCCAAATTTTCTTATCAGGCCGATACCGATAACAGAAAAAATGAGCATTTATCGTCTGATACCGATATGGTGGCCGATATATCGTGCATCCCTAAATTATATTCTAATACTCCTTTAAAACAAGTCTACATTAATAATATAATAAAATTCAATATGAATATCCCACATTTCTGCCACAATACCATGGTGTGCAGTGTGTTACTACAGTAAATCCGTGGTAAATGATGGCGATTTGTAGATTAAACGTCTTCTGACTGTCTCGTTGCTCACAGTGTTCCTCCTGTGTGTCAGCGCGGTTTCATCAGGCCCTAAACTAGTTTAAATCAATTGTGTTCTTCTCTGAATTCAAGCGCTTCATGCTGGATCTCACAGTGCGGGTTAGTGTCGAGTGACTGAGATGAGCGGATAAATGCTCCGCCGCGCTGATTTGTTCCGTATATCGAACATTTATCAAAATCTTATCGTTTTGAGGAAAATTAAATTGCAATAGTTATCGTTTTAATCACCCAGCCCCCCTAACCAAACTGTATGAATAATTGTTGTAATAGGCAGAATCATGTAAAATCTGATCATAAACACAATGTAAACCCTCATTTTATTCATGATCTTGAATGCCATCTCCTTGCAATAAACAGGCCACCTGAGCTTGTGCCAAATGTGTGAAATTTGAGAGCTGTACGGCAGCGAATGACCTCCGAGACGCAACATGAAATCCATCCAATCTGTGTTCGCATGTCGACCCCTAGTTTATGCGATTTAAGCTAATTAATCCGTTATTTATTCTTTCCGGAAAATGTGACGGTGTCTAAATTTGCCTTGTTGGAAATGCCATTGTTCCAGTGTTTTGTTGTTGTTCAAATATAAAAAGTTCCCTATTCAGAGTCATGTAGAAAATAAGAGAATCAAGTTTCCTGATAATAATAATAATGAGATCTAATCATTTCTCTCTCTGTGCATTTTCAGATTTGAGTGGGACAAACTTCTGGAGAATGTGCATTGTTTGATTATAAGTGTGACGAAGACTGACAAGCGGGAAGCTTATATACTCAGGTGAGCTATTGACTCGTCTGTCCTGACTTGGAGGACGGGATTGTGACGAATGCAATCAAACCAGGAACATGCGTTATTTATAGCAACATTACAGCCCACGCTGATTTAAAGATCAATTGAGAATATTGCGCCGTTCAGAAATGCGTGTTACATAAGTTGCAAATATTGTTTCATGTTGTTTTTAAAAACTAAATACAGGTGTGAAAGCTCAAATAATAAGAAATGCTACTGGATATAGACTGAGTGAGCATAAAGCTTGGCGTTTCTGCGAGTGTACTGTTTGCACACTGACCTTATACTCACAACTGATCAGCACACGGCAGCATTTCAGCTTAGAGATGCTCAAAAGCTGATGAGACTAATATGAAAGGCATTTGTGTGACTTTCACAGTCATGGGGGTTAATGATTGAGTGCAGACTAAACGCATCCTGCTAAGCCGTTTATTTAGTCTGAGAGACGAAGGGTCAAAGCTATTCATAGCTGTCTGGAGAGAAAAAAGCAGGATGGGTTTGTACTTTAAATGTTGCTGAAATGGCATTAAAGTTCCTGAAAGTAAAAAAACAAAACAAACAGGTCAAACAAGGAAGAAGACCTAATAATTAGCATTGTTTTATTCATCATTATAGCCATACATGCCACACGGTGGCTTCCATAGACACTTTTGAATGTCAAAAATGCATCAGAGTTTTGAACCCATTAATTAAAATTGACCGTTCAAGAGAACTCGTTCCTAAAACTTGTAATGCAATGAGCGGGTGTGGGAAAAGTGCATTGAAGTCAATGATGTTCACAATGTTGATTCATTTTATATTGGAAAAAAGTGTTATGGAAAATACTGTGAATGGCCCACTTTGCTGTAACATTTAGAAACTGAGCCATGATCTAATGGATTAACCACTCCTACATGCTTCTCTCTCTCTGCGTCTCCTAGTGAGAGTAGCATGTTTGTCTCCAAGAGACGTTTCATTTTGAAGACATGCGGAAGCACCCTCTTACTGCAGGCACTGGTGCCACTGCTGGAGCTGGCTCGTGAGTACTGCGGCTTTGATGCCATCGAGGTACGACACACACACACACACACTCAGGTGCATGTTTAGGGAAGGATTTATGGCACATCATCTGCAACCGCTGTAGATATGAAAACATTAAAAGCTCCGTCAAACACATCGGGTTCAGTTCACATGAGGTTCACACTGAAGACAATGAGTCCTATGGTGTCATAGATGAATCGTTGGCAGTATTCAGCACAAAGTATCTTTATGAAAATGTGACCTGATCATCTTATTTTCTTTTCAGAATTTCTTCTATTCTCGTAAAAATTTTATGAAGCCCACCCATCAAGAGTTCCCTCACCGCAACTTCCAGGAGGAAGTCGAGTTCCTCAGCCAGATTTTTCCAAGTACGCTTTCACACCATAAAGAATGGACTAGAATTATGCATGCATTATGAATTAAATGGTAATAAATTAGTATTGTCTGCAGGGGCGGACTTTGTGATTTGGGGGCCCCAGGCAAAATATAGGAATCGGGGCCCTATACGTTTGCACACATTTACTTAGATCAGCCTTTGATATTCCTTTTTTTTTGTTGTGACGCTTGCTGCTGCTGCACAATGGTGCCCATAGTTGTGTCCCAAGGTTTCTACATTTTTCATGTACATGTTATAATGGCTTTCTTTCATGCCACGAAATAGCAACTGATTTACAGCTTTCACAAAAACAAAATATAAATTATATTCTAATACTCCTTTAAAACAAGTCTACATTAATAATATAATAAAATTCAATATGAATATCCCACATTTCTGCCACAATACCATGGTGTGCAGTGTGTTACTACAGTAAATCCGTGGTAAATGATGGCGATTTGTAGATTAAACGTCTTCTGACTGTCTCGTTGCTCACAGTGTTCCTCCTGTGTGTCAGCGCGGTTTCATCAGGCCCTAAACTAGTTTAAATCAATTGTGTTCTTCTCTGAATTCAAGCGCTTCATGCTGGATCTCACAGTGCGGGTTAGTGTCGAGTGACTGAGATGAGCGGATAAATGCTCCGCCGCGCTGATTTGTTCCGTATATCGAACATTTATCAAAATCTTATCGTTTTGAGGAAAATTAAATTGCAATAGTTATCGTTTTAATCACCCAGCCCCCCTAACCAAACTGTATGAATAATTGTTGTAATAGGCAGAATCATGTAAAATCTGATCATAAACACAATGTAAACCCTCATTTTATTCATGATCTTGAATGCCATCTCCTTGCAATAAACAGGCCACCTGAGCTTGTGCCAAATGTGTGAAATTTGAGAGCTGTACGGCAGCGAATGACCTCCGAGACGCAACATGAAATCCATCCAATCTGTGTTCGCATGTCGACCCCTAGTTTATGCGATTTAAGCTAATTAATCCGTTATTTATTCTTTCCGGAAAATGTGACGGTGTCTAAATTTGCCTTGTTGGAAATGCCATTGTTCCAGTGTTTTGTTGTTGTTCAAATATAAAAAGTTCCCTATTCAGAGTCATGTAGAAAATAAGAGAATCAAGTTTCCTGATAATAATAATAATGAGATCTAATCATTTCTCTCTCTGTGCATTTTCAGATTTGAGTGGGACAAACTTCTGGAGAATGTGCATTGTTTGATTATAAGTGTGACGAAGACTGACAAGCGGGAAGCTTATATACTCAGGTGAGCTATTGACTCGTCTGTCCTGACTTGGAGGACGGGATTGTGACGAATGCAATCAAACCAGGAACATGCGTTATTTATAGCAACATTACAGCCCACGCTGATTTAAAGATCAATTGAGAATATTGCGCCGTTCAGAAATGCGTGTTACATAAGTTGCAAATATTGTTTCATGTTGTTTTTAAAAACTAAATACAGGTGTGAAAGCTCAAATAATAAGAAATGCTACTGGATATAGACTGAGTGAGCATAAAGCTTGGCGTTTCTGCGAGTGTACTGTTTGCACACTGACCTTATACTCACAACTGATCAGCACACGGCAGCATTTCAGCTTAGAGATGCTCAAAAGCTGATGAGACTAATATGAAAGGCATTTGTGTGACTTTCACAGTCATGGGGGTTAATGATTGAGTGCAGACTAAACGCATCCTGCTAAGCCGTTTATTTAGTCTGAGAGACGAAGGGTCAAAGCTATTCATAGCTGTCTGGAGAGAAAAAAGCAGGATGGGTTTGTACTTTAAATGTTGCTGAAATGGCATTAAAGTTCCTGAAAGTAAAAAAACAAAACAAACAGGTCAAACAAGGAAGAAGACCTAATAATTAGCATTGTTTTATTCATCATTATAGCCATACATGCCACACGGTGGCTTCCATAGACACTTTTGAATGTCAAAAATGCATCAGAGTTTTGAACCCATTAATTAAAATTGACCGTTCAAGAGAACTCGTTCCTAAAACTTGTAATGCAATGAGCGGGTGTGGGAAAAGTGCATTGAAGTCATTGATGTTCACAATGTTGATTCATTTTATATTGGAAAAAAGTGTTATGGAAAATACTGTGAATGGCCCACTTTGCTGTAACATTTAGAAACTGAGCCATGATCTAATGGATTAACCACTCCTACATGCTTCTCTCTCTCTGCGTCTCCTAGTGAGAGTAGCATGTTTGTCTCCAAGAGACGTTTCATTTTGAAGACATGCGGAAGCACCCTCTTACTGCAGGCACTGGTGCCACTGCTGGAGCTGGCTCGTGAGTACTGCGGCTTTGATGCCATCGAGGTACGACACACACACACACACACTCAGGTGCATGTTTAGGGAAGGATTTATGGCACATCATCTGCAACCGCTGTAGATATGAAAACATTAAAAGCTCCGTCAAACACATCGGGTTCAGTTCACATGAGGTTCACACTGAAGACAATGAGTCCTATGGTGTCATAGATGAATCGTTGGCAGTATTCAGCACAAAGTATCTTTATGAAAATGTGACCTGATCATCTTATTTTCTTTTCAGAATTTCTTCTATTCTCGTAAAAATTTTATGAAGCCCACCCATCAAGAGTTCCCTCACCGCAACTTCCAGGAGGAAGTCGAGTTCCTCAGCCAGATTTTTCCAAGTACGCTTTCACACCATAAAGAATGGACTAGAATTATGCATGCATTATGAATTAAATGGTAATAAATTAGTATTGTCTGCAGGGGCGGACTTTGTGATTTGGGGGCCCCAGGCAAAATATAGGAATCGGGGCCCTATACGTTTGCACACATTTACTTAGATCAGCCTTTGATATTCCTTTTTTTTTGTTGTGACGCTTGCTGCTGCTGCACAATGGTGCCCATAGTTGTGTCCCAAGGTTTCTACATTTTTCATGTACATGTTATAATGGCTTTCTTTCATGCCACGAAATAGCAACTGATTTACAGCTTTCACAAAAACAAAATAAATTATAAAATGATAAACCTCACAAATGAGACTTTAAACCATTTTGTAAGAAAAGAGATGAGTCGGAAGTATAAATTATGATATTAATTTAAAACGGGGTTATGTGGGTGGATTTTCGCATTGGTCTGAACAAAAACGGCAGACGGGATTATTGAAAATGCACATTCATTCTCTGCCAGCAGGAGGCGCTTTTGGAACATCAGAAATACAGCGGTTTCCCCGGCTGTAAACAAAGCAGCGCTGCGCTCATAAACGCTACGTTATCAGATGAAATGAAAATGCCAGCGAAACCTTTCTGAAGACAGTCGTACCCTTCAGAGATTCATTCATAGAAAAACTTGAATTAGTGAGAATGAGAAAAATATAGCCTATATTAAGGAGGAAAGTCCACTGATGAGTTACCAGCGTAAGCCTGTGTGCCAAAGGCGGTCTAATTCTCGCACTTATTTTAGTTCTTTTAACTGCAAATTTAAATGAAAATGAAAATTTTTTTTTTATAGAAATCATACATTTACCCACCAAAGGATTACATCAACCAAACAAGTAACAGCGTATGCGTCCTCTACTTGGGTCCTTCTCATAAATGAGTAAGCGGCATTTAAAACAATAAACATATAATGCGCACTACTGCGCAATATTTAATTACAGCTTCAGATGCATGATATTTTCATTTGCTACAAGCAGGATACACTAGAAGTGTGCTCAACTCGGACACGCAGACGGTTGCCGGGGTGATAAACACTGTAAAAAGCAACCGTTCGCGTGTCAGCGCTTAATGTGCATCTCGTATATGAAAAGCATTTTAGGGGGCCCAAGTCGGTCGCCTACCTTTGCCTAATGGGTAAGTCCGCCTCTGATTTGAAAGTTACATTTATAGTTTTAATTTTTTTATGTGCAGATGGAGCAGCCTACTGTATGGGACGTCTGAACTCAGACTGCTGGTGAGCTGTTTTACATCTACTAGACTTCCTACAATCTATATCTGACTTCAGATAAATGATCATTAGTAAATGTTAAACGTTGCACATGCATCCGACTTTTTTCCTCTTGTGAGCAAGGCCACATTTTAGCATTGATAAGTCTGGTTTGTTTTATGAAAATGGTTTCATAAATAATTAAATACAACTGTTCCAAATCAAACTGTTTGATTATTTTGCTTTTTGGGGGAAAAACTCATCAACTGATGTCCATTTAGATGACATTTACATGGTATTCTTCTCCTTTCTGTCCTGAAGGTATCTGTTTACGCTGGAGCTGCCAGAATACTGGGAGAATAAGCAGGCGGACCAGACACTAGAAGTTCTGATGAGTGACCTCGACCCGGCTGTGATGGACCAGTTCTTCATGAAAGACGGTGTTTCTGCTAATGATGTCACTCGTGTACGATTCGTCCTCCGTACTTCTGCTCTAGAGTCTCATTGTGTTCTTTTATTTCTGAAATTGCTTCCTAAAACAACTACTAGCATTTGTGACCCTGGACCACAAAACCAGTCATAAGGGTCAATTTTTCGAAATTGAGATTTATACATCATCTGAAATCTGAATAAATAATCTTCCCATTAATGTATGGTTTGTTAGGATAGGACAATATTTGGCCGAGATACAACTATTAGAAAATCTGGAATCTGAGGGTGCAAAAAAATCTAAATATTGAGAAAATCATCTTTAAAGTTGTCCAAATGAAGTTCTTAGCAATGCATATTACTAGTTTTGATATATTTACGGTAGGAAATGTACAAAATATCTTCATGGAACATGATCTTTACTTAATATCCTAATGATTTTTGGCATGAAAGAGAAATGTATAATTGTGACCCATACAATGTATTGTTGGCTATTGCTACAAATATCCCCCAGCGACTTAACACTGCTTTTGTGCTCCAGGCTCACAATTCAGAAAGCACCGAATGTGCCGTGTTAGAACTTTGATAATCATCAGTACCATGGTTTATGCACATGCACACCGCAGTCGTTTTTTGCACGGGTGTCTTCGATGTTTATCTGTGGTGTCTTCACAGATGAGTGGAATTCGTGACCTGATTCCAGGTTCAGTGATTGATGCCACAATGTTCAACCCTTGTGGATACTCCATGAATGGAATGAAAACGGATGTGAGGAGACATTTAAAGCTGGGTGTTTCTTTGTGAGGAAGTTGCTCTGTGTTCTGCAGCGTGATTGAGATGGGTTGTCTTTCTAGGGAACTTACTGGACGATTCACATCACCCCCGAACCGGAGTTCTCCTATGTCAGCTTTGAAACCAACCTCTCCCAGACGTCTTACGACGAGCTTATCCACAAAGTCGTGGATGTCTTCAAACCAGGGAAATTTGTGACCACGCTTTTCGTCAATCAGGTACATTGTTACGCAACTTATCAGTGTCTGCAATAATTAATAATTAGTAGTACATTAGTGCGGTCAAACGATTAATCGCGATTAATCACATCCAACATAAGTTGATGTTTACATGATATGTGTGTGTACGGTGTATATTTATGTATAAATACACAAACATGCATGTCTATATATTTAAAAAAAATGCCTACATGTAAATATATATTTATATTCAAATATAATTTATATTATATATATTAATATTTTATATATAAACAAAACATTTTAAATATGCGTGTGTGTATTTATATACATAATAAATATACACAGTTCACACATTATGTAAACAAAAACGTATATTTTGGATGCAATTAATCGTTCGACAGCACTAATTATTACTTGTGAATTGATTGCTCTGCATATTTACTAGTGCTCTCAAACGATTAATCGCATACAAAATAAAAGTTTTTGTTTGCATGTGTTCTATGCATATGTATACATGCAAATATTTTCAAAATATATACTGTATGTGTGTTTATTTACATGTCTATTTATATTCATATAATTGATATTATAAATAAATATATTTAATATATAAACATAACCTATTTTTCTGAAATATGTACATGCATGTGTGTGTATTTATATATAAATGATAAATATACACCGCACACATACACATTATGTAAACAAAAACTTTTATTTTGGATGCGATTAATTGCAAGTAATCGTTTTGACAGCACTAATAGTACTAATGCACATGTGACGCTGCAGCACAAAAGCAGTGTTAAGTCGCTGGGGGATATTTGTAGCAATAGCCAACAATACATTGTATGGGTCACAATTATACATTTCTCTTTTATGCCAAAAATCATTAGGATATTCAGTAAAGATCATGTGCCATGAAGATATTTTGTAAATTTCCTACCGTAAATATATCAAAACTTAATGTTTGATTAGTAATATGCATTGCTAAGAACTTCATTTGGACAACTTTAAAGATGATTTTCTCAATATTTAGATTCTTTTGCACCCTCAGATTCCAGATTTTCAAATAGTTGTATCTCAGCCAAATATTGTCCGATCCTAACAAACCATACACCAATGAAAGCTTATTTATTCAGCTTTCATATGTATAAATCTCAATTTAAAAAAATTGACCCATATGACTGGTTTTGTGGTGCAGGGTCACATATGTGGTATCAAATTGTTTTGATGTTCTAAAAATAACTGCAAAGTCGGTGTTTGGTTGTATTTATTGTTGCTGAAGCCTAGCTCTGATTGGCAGCTTCCACACTTCAGATGCATGATCTGAACTAGCCGTCAGTGGCTTCCAGTGTTCCAGTGTTGATTTGGAGCATTCACACTCATCCTTCTCGTTCCCAACAGAGCTCCAAATGTCGCAGCGTTTTCACTTCGTCACTTCGGCTGGAGGGTTACCGCCTCCTGGACCGCCAGTCGGCGCACTTCAACGACTACAACTTCGTCTTCACCAGTTACGCCAAGAGCCGCCAGCAGAAGCAGAGCTGAACCTCCGAAATGAAGAAGCGTAAAAAGAAATCGTGCGGCTGGCGGCGTTTGTGCGTGGAGTCTTCCGGCTGTAGATCTTCCCCGAGTTTAACATTTATGCATACCTGTACCTGTGACGTAGATATCGTGCATGAAAGCTCTTCTCGTGTCTCTGTAGATATTCTAGCCCATTCTTGCTGTGATCTTGAAGTGCATGTAGAGCTCTTGAACGTGGCGGTGGTGTGTGTGAGGCATGTCACGCCATCATCCCAGTACATGCAATGCTCCCTTCCCTTCCTGCAAGTGTCCCCTCGCATCCCCCACAGACAGGGTTTCCGACCTCACTAGACAAGGACCCTGACACGCTCAGATCTGTCTCCTCTCCCAACCAATCCAAAAGCAACGTCTTTTTATCGGTTTGCGAAAAAGGTTTTTTTTTGGGCGTTGGTTATTTAAATCGCAACTCATTTTCAATGTGTGTGTGTTCAGCTCAACTGTGTATAGCTAGCTAACTTTTCTGTGACTGTGAAGATATCCTGAAGACAAACCTAAAGTATTCCTCGTCCGTCGTCTTTTCTTTAACCCTGCAGACGGCTGTCTTTATCCGGTGTGCTAGAGAAGTGAATGCGAGTAGCTTAACCGTCACCTTCAATGTCGAGAGCCTGCTCTGATTTTAGAGAACGTTTTGGAAAACGCATCTCTCGTTTGAGTAATACGCTCGTTAGATGGTACCAGAGAAGTGAATGTTTCAAAAGACGAGTTACTTAATTGTTGCCTTGTGTGTTAACAACATATAATCTGCAATATATAGCCATTACGGTGAAAGTTAACTGTTGTCTTCCTTTCCTCAAATAAAATGGCCTGTATTAAAAAAAAAAAAACATTAGTTAGTTGAAAGGTGACGATGTGTTATATAGAAGAATGGATTTTTCTGAATAATGTAGC